TGCCCTATTGCAGGCGCATATCCTAAATTACAAGAGTTAAAATTGAAAGAAGAAATGGACAGGCAAAAGATAGAAATTGAATCCTCAGAAGTAAAGGAGGAGAAATTATATCCTTCCTTAAATCCATTTTTAGACCAGCCTATGGCAGCTGTTACTATACCCACTAGCACTGGAATTAGTAATAATGATTGCACAACATTGAGAATATACTAAAGTCACTGGGGTGCATAATTTAAAATGGTAAACTTTATGTTACATAAAACATATTTCTATTTCAAAAGGATCCTAAATACTAAGCCTAATAGTTAAAAGTACAAGTAAACAGAGATTTCCTCAAGGAAAACAAACAAACTGATCATTAGAACTCATGCTAAATGCAGAGATATGGTATTTGTGGGTTACCTACCTTTGTCATTCCTGTCCTTAAAGTTAGAAACTCTAGGAAACTTGTAAACACTAATCTAATAATGCTATGTATGATGAACCACATATACACTTACTCCCCCAAAAGACATGGCACTTGTTCTTTGATTTATTAATTGTTGTTGTTAGGTACCATCGAGTCAGGTCTGACTCACAGTAACCCTGTGTACAATAGAACCACTGCCTGGTCTTGTACTATCCTCATAATCGTTGCTATGCTTGAGCCCGTCGTTGCACACACTGTATCAAACCATCTCATTGAGGGTCCTTCCCTTTTTCCTTGACTCTCCTCTTTACCAAGCATCATACCCTTTTCTAAGCATTGGTCCCTTCTCACAAGATGCCAAAGTGTGAGAGATGAAGTCTGCCCATTCTTCCTTCTAAGGAGCATTTCGGCTGTATTTCCTCTAAGACCAACGACTTATTCATTGCAAAAACCCTTTCAACAACTTAAATCATGACTCTACACATGGACCTCACCATACAGAATACAGAAAAATCAATTGACTACAGCTGTGCAAAGAGACAATTGAGAAACTCGCTATCATCAGTAAGAACAAGGCCAGGGACCGACTGCAAAACAGACTATCAATCGCTCATATGCAAGTTCAAACTGAAGCTGAAAAAAAATTAATAGAAGTCCAGGACAGCCAAAGTATGACCTTGAGTATACCCCACCTAAATTTAGAGACCATATCAAAAACAGATTGGACACACTATATACTAATGACCGAAGTCCAGATGAGTTGTGGGATTACATCAAGGATATCACACATGAAAGCAAAAGGTCATTAAAAAGACAGGAAAAAAAGAAAAGACCAAAGTGGATTTCAGAAGAGACTCTGAAACTTGTTCTTGAAGGTAGAGTAGCTAATGCAAATGGAAGAAATGATAAAGTAAAAGAGCTTAACAGATTTCAAAGGACATCTCAAATAAAAAACAAACTAAAATATTATAATGAAATATGCAAAGACTTGGAGTTAGAAAACCAAAAGGGAAGAACATGGCTGGCATTTCTCAAGTTGAAAGAATTGAAGGAAAATTTCAAGATTTGAGTGGCAATATTGAAGGATTATATGGGTAAAAAATTGAACAACACAGGAAGCATCAAAAAATTAAAAAAAAAAAAAAAAAGAAAGGAAAGAATACACAGAGTTACTGTATCAAAAAGAATTGGTCAACATTCAACCATTTCAGGAGGTAGTATATAATTAAGAACTGATGGTACTAAAGGAAGAAGTTCAAGTTGCTGAAGGCACTGCCAAACAATAAGGTTCCAGAAATTGACAGAATACCCATTGAGATGTTTCAACAAACAGATGCAATGCAAGGCTGGAAGCTCTCACTCATCCATGCCAAGAAATTTGGAACAGATACCTGGCCAACCTACTGGAAGAGATCCCTATTTGTGTCCACTTCAAAGAAAGGTGACCCAACAGAATGCAGTTGTTTTTTTAAAAAAAATACATTTTATTGAATATAATTTATGTACAATGAAATACACAAAACTAAAATGACATGTGTCAAAGCATATATATTTTTTTTTTTTTGCAGTGTTCCCACCCCTCCCCTTCTACCTCTGGCAACCAACAAAGAAAGTTTTCTTCCATATATAAGCTTTTCCTTGACCCTCCACAACAATGAACTAATACTATATTTGTCCTTCTGTGATTGACTTATTTCACTCAGCATAATGTACTACAAGTTCATCTATGTTATGCTGTGTTTTGCAGACTCTACATTATTCTTTAGTGCAGAATGCAGACATTTTTGAACATCATTAATATTACACACAAGTAAAGTTTTGCTGAAGATAATTAAAAAATGGCAGCAGCAGTACATCAACAGAGAACTGCCAGAAATTTAAGCCAGATTCAGAAGAGAACATAAAGCCAGGGATATCGTTGCTGATGTCAGATGGATCTTGGCTGAAACCAAAGAATACCAGAAAGATGTTTACCCATGTTTTATTGACTATGCAAAGGCATTCAACTGTGTGGATCATAACATTCTTTGTAAAGAATGATAATTGCAGTATACTTACTTGTGCTTGTGAGGAACCTGTACATGGACCAAGAGACAATTGTTTGATAAAAACAAGGTGATATTGCATAGTTGAAAATCAGGAAAGGTGTGTATCGAAGTCATATCCTTTCACCATACTTATTCAAACTGTATACTGAGCAAATATGAAAGAAACTGGACTATATGAAGAAGAATGCAGCATCAGGATTGGGGGAAGACTCATTAACAACATGCAATATGCAGATGACACAACCTTGCTTGCTGAAAGTAAAGAGGACTTGAAACACTTACTGATGAAATAAAAGACTACAGCTGTCAGTATGGATTACACCTCAACAAAATCCTCACAATTGGATGAATAACATAATAAACAGAGTTAAACAGAATGAAGTTTTCAAGGATTTCATTTTACTTGAATCCATTATCAATGCCTATGGCAGCAGCAGTCAATAAATCAAATGATGCATTGTGTTAGGCAAATCTGCTGCAAAAGACCTCTTTAAAGTGTTAAAAAGCAAAGATGACACTTTGAGGACTAAGGTGTGCCTAATCCAAGCCATGGTATTTTCAATCTCCTCATATGTGTGTGAAAGCTGGCCAATGAATAAGCAAGACTGCAGAAGAACTAATACCTTTCAATTATGGTGTTGGCGAAGAATATTAAATATACCATGGACTGCCAGAAGACAAACAAATCTGTCTTGGAAGAAGCATAGCCAGAGTGCTCCTTGGAAGTGAGGATGGTGAAACTTCATTTCATGTACTTTGGATAAGTTTTCCTTGGAGAATGACATTATGCTTGGTAAAGCAGCATGTCAGTAAAAAAGAGGAAGATCTCCTATGAGATGGACTGGTACAGTGGCTGCAACGATGGGATCAAACATGGCAACAGCTGTGAGGATGGTGCAGGACCACACAATGTTTCATTCTGCTGAGACAGAACTGACCCTATGGCACCTGACAACAATAACAACATATTTGAATTTAAAAGTCATACCAATAAAGGTACTTATCCTGCAATTTTTATTAACCCTTTTTTTGTGAACACTTTACAATTCACTTGAGCTCCTGTTGTTGTGTTGTTGTTTGCCGTCGAGTCGGTCCCAACTCATAGCAACCCATCCTTGGGTTTCCGAGGCAGTATCACTACGGAAGTAGGATTGCTCAACCTTCCTTCCGAGGAGTGGCTGGTGGGTTTGAACCACCAGCCTTCTGGTAAGCAGTCAAGTGCCTTAGGCACTATGCTACCAGAGCTCCTAGCAAAATGTAAAAAATTAAGTTAATCGCTGAGACCTCTAGAGAGAGAAACATTAGCTCATCAGTTCAATGCCTAGAAATGAAGTACTGTCATTGACGTGAATTATTTAGTCCTACAGTGACCTTTGGGACAGTCAGAAGAGGTCTTCTACAGAGAATGAGAAATATACAACAATCTTACATCCTTTCAGAAGCACTAAACTGGAAACTAGAGAACTGAAAGCATTTCCTCTTCCTTTTGATCTCTAGAAGTTGTATGTGCCATTAAATCAACTACCTTGGCAATAAAGATCAGTATACTTGGACTAAAATACAGTGTAAAGTGAAGGGGGGAGGGGTCAATAGCAATCCATTATATTTACTGGCTAAGTGTATCAGCAACATACCAAAGAGTGGGAGTGGCCTGCCCTGTATGTAGGCAATAAGGGTATGTACTGTCAGTAATGAATTTAAAAACAATAATAAAATCAACTAAAATCAGTTTGTTTTTTTTTTTACTATCACCATGAGCCAGCAATTCTAAACAATTATCAGTGATAAAATACTCCACTTTCAGTGTGGATTGCTCCCACTGCCCTAACATTGCTATGCTACTGTTCCTATAACATCAGAAATTCTGAAAGAAAAGACAAAAAAATAAAATTATATATATATATAAACACACACATGCTTTGGAAAAAAATATAGACAGACAGCTGGATAGTCTGAAATTTAGTCATAGAGCTACCACTTTAGTCACTGCACAGATGGTTCTGTTGACTTAAAGCAAATGAGAAAATATGTCAGTGATTATTTAGTAGAGTATGACTTTTCACAATGAATTGGCAAAAGCATTAATGCACTTAGATAATCAAGATGGCAGCTGTTGTTTACAAGGTAAATTTAAAAACTATGAGCACACATCACTTAACTTTCTATTATTTCTGTAATTATCTAGTTAAAGAGAATTTACTAGTAATTTAGACTTGTGTCTTGGTAGAATAATTCTGGATGAAAACATTAATTAGCAAAGCACTGGTCCAGAACCTTCCTAAAACTAACTTATTTAGGAAGTCATATATTTGAGGTATTTTAAATCTGCAAGCTCTTTCTCTCACTACCAAGTAAAAAGCTTAATATATTTGATTTAGAATCTGATTTTCTAATTATTTCACATATATTTAAAGTATAAATTTGTGTAGGAAAATGAGACATGACATTTGAGTCCTTAAATGGGAAAGACAATTAGAAGTAAGAAAAACAAAATTATCCTAATAAACATTAAATTAAATAAAAATAACAACAGCAACACTTACCTAAACCTTCAGATTCAAAGAGGTAAGTCTCATCAACCCCAATGTGCCTGCACCAATGAAGGAAGTTTGCAGTATTGTCTCTAGCAAAGAATGAGCCTGATGGAGCATCTTTCTTACAGGGCACTTTTCTCATTGGAAAATTCTGGAAAAGAAAAAGCAAAAACCTTAAGAATTAATTAAGGGTATTTTCATTAGATAATCATTTTAATATTACAAATAAAAGTTCAGTACATTGAATGTAACTAAAAAGAATACAACAGTAAAAGAAAAAGATGTCTTCAAATATTATTTTCATTTCCATTAAGTATATTCTAGAAAATGACTCCTAGGAAAACAATCTGGTCAAAATCAGCAACAGGATCAAGCATTTCTAACCTTGCTCTTTTTAAAATAACACAAGAGTCTTAATTAAAACAAAAATAATGACATTTTAATAATTCCAAAGAATATCCCTACGGTACATCTCTCCATACATAGTTCAATACAAACACAAAAGTTTCATTATGTTAAAGGTTAACAAACACATTCATTTTCACTTACTTCCTTACATGCAGATTCATAAATTTCAGATTCATGGTTCTCAGCTTCTTGAAACTACCAAATAAGGAAGCAGTAGTCCATTCTCAATTCAATCTTTGAAAACTGATGGTGTAAGTTTTACAGAATCTTGATTTTTTTGACTATCTGGCTCAAAAGTATTTAGATTATCTTCTTGATGCTGAGAGTTTTTTACTGTTTTTTTTTTTTTTTTTAATTTTTCATTTGAATAAGCAATTCTTATATGATTTTTTAAAAAGTGCAGTAGGGAAAAAGAAGTCTCCCTCCCATCTCTACCCCTCAGTCCCTCTCCTTGAAGATAACAACTATTACCAGTTCCTTGTATGTCCTTCCTGTTGCTACTATAAAATAGCCTTGTGAGGTTCCCCAATTCTAGATATATGACCACTGCAAAAATAGAACAAAACAATATAGCCACATACAAAGATGGTTAATATAACCAGGAATCGTCTCATTCACATTTGATAAGGTATCTCCATGCATATCTATACATACATCTTTATCTACAAAATGTTTTATAATATGTTATTCTGCTATCTAATACATATGTATGCACAAATGCACAATGTGCCCCCCAAAGAAGATGGTCCCACTTCAGCAGTACGAGAGCATCCAGACTCCAGACTCTTGAAAACATCTGTATTTGATGGAAAGAGAGGAAAACTTATCTACTTCGGATCATGACTTCTGAGTCAATGAAGGAAATCTATCTGAAAAATTAATTACTTAATATTTATAGAATTTAACATGAAGATAGGAGAACATAAATAAGATTGTAATAAAAACTGTACTAACTGTGCTAAATATATGCCAGGAACTATTCACAAGCTCTTTTCTCATTTAATTGTCACAACAATCTTATAAAGAAGGCACCAGTCTCATTAAGAAGGGCTAGCTGCTAGACAGCTACTATGTACCAGGCACTATGCTAGGCACCATATAACCATTATCACATTTAAATTCATTGAGCCTTCACAAGTAAATCCTAGGAGATAAATGTTAACACTGCCCTTTGACAAATAAAGATATTTTTCCAGATGCTCAGAAAGCTTAAGCAAATTATCCAATCTCATAGCAAGCTGGGATATAAGTTTACAACCTTGTAGAAATTATAAGAAATGTACATAAACTAATTATAAAATTACTACTCTCTTTTCCCAGCCCTCCCTCCCTCAAACATTGACTTACCCCTGATTCTTCAGAATTGCCTGTTTTCACCATGTCCTGAAGAACAGCAATCAGCTGGCATAATAGTACTCCATTATCAAGTTCTTCCAATAATCTTTCTGCCTTAATTTCAATGCCTAAAAACATATTTTAAAGTTATGATTCTTTTATAAACAGTAAATTCAAACAATATGATAAAAATTTAGTTAAAGAGAATCATATTATAGCTGAAATACCATGTTGTTGATGTTATGTGCTGTTGAGTAGGACCTGACTCAGCGACCCCTCCTTGGGTTTCCCAGGCAGTATATCATTACGAAAGTAGATTGCCCCATCTTCCTTCTGAGGAGTTGCTGGTGGGTTTGAACCGCCACCCTTCTGGTTAGCAGTCAAGTGCCTTAGGCACTATGCTACCAGAGCTCCTTGAAAGAGATGGCCAGGTGTATGTGGCAGGGAGCAGCTGGTGGGTTTGAACCACCAGCCTTGCACTTGGTAGGCAACTGCCTTAGGCCCGAAGCTATCTTCTAGGGCCAGAGATACAATAATACTGAAATACTAAATATCTGATCAGATCCCAAGTACTTAGAAGGTAGAGTTAAAACACACTGTCAAATTAAATGAAACACAATTGAAACAAAAATGTCTGTGCTGTGGAAGTATGGAAAAAAGAGAGAAAACTAACACCTATTTCATCTCATTTTTATAAGACCTAAGTATTTTATTTTTCAATATTTACTGTTAAGGCTCAGTTTTGATTCATTGTATATTGCTACTGCTTGTACAAGAGAAAGATACCCTATAAGTGATGGACTTTTTTGCACTTTATAAATTACAGACAATAATATAACAAACATGCAGAGAATACCACTTTTCACCTCTAAAATGCCTCTTGTTGTTTGGTGCCGTCGAGTCATCTCTGACTCATAGTGACCTTATGCACAGCAGAACAAAACACCACCCAGTCCCACACCAGCTCCGCGATCCCTGCTATACTTGAGCCCATCGCGGCAGCCACTGTGTCAATCCATTTCGTTGAGGGCCTTCCCCTCCTTTGTCGACCTTCTCTACCTTACCAAGCATGACATCCTTCTCCAGGGAATGGTCCCTTCTGACAACATAACCAAAGTAGGTGAGATGAAGTCTGGTTATTCTTACTTTCAAGGAGCATTCTGGCTGCGCTTCCTCTAGAACAGATTTGTTAGTTCTTTTAGCAGTCTCTGGTACTTTCAGCATTCTTCTAGAGCACATCTCAAGAGCATCAATTCTTCTTCAGTCTTCTTTATTCATTGTTCAGCTTTCACATGCGTAAGAGCCGATTGAAAATACCATGGCTTGTGTCAGGCGCACCTTAGTCCTCAAGGAGACATCTTTGCTCTTCAGCACTTGAAAGAGGTCCTTTGCAGCTGACTTGCCCATTGCTGATGTCCTGACTGCTGCCTCCATTAGCGTTGATTATAGAACCAAGCAATGTGAAGTCTTTGACAACTTCAATCTTTTCTCCATGCATTGTGATGCATTATTATCATATAATAAGAGAGACCAATTGTTGCATCTAGATGGCCATTTACAAGCTTTAAAGCCCAGCTGCTACTCACCAAAGTAGGATATAGAACAATGTTTTTGTGTAGTATGTTATAGTTTTTGTGTAGTATTATTATTATTATAGATGCATTATTATCACATAATGAACTTTAAAAATTATCCAAATCATGAAACTGGTATCAGATGACTAGAGTGCATGTTTGGTACATATTTAATTATTTTGGGATGGTCACAGATGGGCTTCAGGATGTTTCTTCTCATGAAACCTTTAGAATGCTATGTGAAATTCTGTATTTAAAAGTGAACTTTTCTGGGGAGAAAATTCAGAGCATTCATCACATTCTCCAATAGAATGAAGAACTATCAAGAATGCCAAGTATTTTCTAACTCAAGACCTTTTCTTAGGTTTCATATGCCTCTCTACTCCTAAATGCCTTAGAAATACTAATCATTTTAACTACAGTATATACTGCACTCAAAAGCCCATGCCTTATACAGCAAAATATAGATCTAAAAATTAGACCTATATACTTTTTTAAAAATTATTTTTTTTATTATGATTTGGGTAAAAGTTTACAGAGTAAATTCATTTTCTATACAAGAGGTCAAACACATTTTGTTTCATGAAATTGATTGCAATCCCCAGAATGTAACAGCTCTCTTCCCACTTCCTCCCTGTGGTTACCTTTTCCCTGTGTTCTTCTTTCCCATGCATTCTTGCCCTCTGGGCCATCTCCCTGTGCAACTACTGCACTTCTGACCTCCCTTGATTGATTGTTCTTACAAGTGTACCTACCTGGTGTAAATGTTCAACTTATATGCCTGTCCTGGTGTAAATGTTCAACTTATATGCCTGTCCCTTGTTTGGCTGGGAACCATGGGAGTGAGTTCAATTCCAGGCCAAAGAGTGACTAGGAGCCATAGTCTTGGGGGTTTCACCAGTCTCTATCACACCAGTAAGCCTGGTCTTTTTCATGATTTTAAGTTTTGTTCCACATTTTTCTTCCACTCTATCCAGGATCTATCCAGGATCTCCTGCACTGATCCCTTTTCCAGTGGTTGACAGTGGTAGAGGGGCATCATCTAGTTCTTCTGGTCTCATGATCATGTGTGCTGAGGTTCACATGGTCCACTAGTCTCTTGGACTAATTGTTTCCATGCGTCATTGGTTTTCAACATTCTTCTTTACTATGGATGAGGAGAGACCAATTGCTGCATCTAGATGGCCACTTGCAAGCTTTAAAGCCCAGCTGCTACTCATCAAAGTAGGATGTAGAACAATGTTTTTGTGTAGTATGTTATGCCAATTGAGCTTGATGTACCCTATAACCAGGGTCCCAAACCAACAGGCCCAACAACTTGCTCCCTCAGGGTGGTTGGCTATAGCTAACAAGTTATCATCACTTTGCTCCATTGTTGTTGTTGTTGTTGTTAAGTGCCGTCGAGTCGTTTCCGACTCATAGCGACCCCATGCACAGCAGAACGAAACACCGCCCAATCCTGCGCCAGCCCCACAATCCCTGCTATACTTGAGCCCATCATCGCAGCCAC